ATGTTTTCCTTTTCCTATTCCTTACTGCTGTATTGTTTTTTCTGCCTTTGTGAAGCACTTTGTAACATGGATTTTGAAAAGTGTTCTATACATAAATATTATTATTATTATTATGTGCACTCACAGATACAGATACAGTTTCCAGGGTGCACTCTTCCACTCCCTGCTTTGTGTAATGAGAACAATGGGGTTATTGTGCCATCGTCGCTGTCTCGTTGACTGAAAGTGGTTGAGCAGAACAGGTGCATTTTGGAGTAGTTGAAACTGCAAACAGGGTCTTCACCTGAATGAACATTTCGGGATATGTGTATTTTTAGGATTTATATATATATATATATATATATATATATGTTTATATCACTGTTGTAAGACAATGAAATACGACAATTTCCAAGGGTATGAATACCATTTAAAGGCTCTGTGTTTTCTGACCTTTTTAAATGATAAACAATGAATCGACTACACTGAGAAAGAATAGATGAATTAATAATGAATGTATTACTAAGGAACCTACGTATTAGTGTGTGTTAAGTGTGTTGTTTAAAACATTACGTGCTTCCAAAACCCGTCTTTCCTCCTATTAGTTCTCTGTGTGTGTACCAATGTGCCAATACAGCGGTGAAACTGTTGCTCATCCAGAGAGAACAGAATGCCAGTACCCAACATGCCCTGCTCCTCTGTTTACAGAAGTAAAGCAGGGATACTGTACATGTAAACTCCAGATGAGTCTGTCTGGAACAGAGTGTACCAAGAGCCAATAAGCAAATAATTCACTCCCCCTCTTTCCCTTGCTGTCCTCTCTGTTCTGGACAAGTTCTTATTGTTTTTCTTCTCACATCGCTTGATACAACACAGACAGTGTTTTTCTATTAAGTTTTACTGTTCAGAATGATTCATTTGAGGTAATTCTCATTATGGGGACTAGGATAGTAACTCTAACACGAGGTCTTGTCAGATTGGGCAAGTTAATCATGACTGGAAGTCAAGATGCCAATAAAGTTTAATTATCCAGAGCATCTGTGTGCTGGAGGTCTGAGGTCTCTGACATAAACAGACTTTTCTGAAAGTGTTTTGTAACAAATCTGCTTTTCCTCAGAGTGCTATTACATTTCTACCACAAAACTTTGTCAGTATTTCAGCTCAGCCAATACTTCTACTTCCTGTTTGGCACCTTTGTGCTCAGAAACCTCTCTACATAATAAATTAGACACAGACTTCTTCGTGCTATTGATACAAAACATATAATTCAAAAATCAGGCACACACACAGCAGAAGCTGCCTCTCCCTTTGAATTGCCCTGCAGAAAAAAGACACTGCCTTGCTTCATTTTGATAAAAGCAACCAATAACTTATTAAATAATTATATAAAAGTAAAGGATTTGCAGTTGATTATGCAGTAAAGTCACAACCATTAGCATCTTCTAAAGTAGCAGCCATGGGCTGCCACTATCTCTATGTTATTTCTATAATCAGACAAAAAATAATGCACAAAATAGTAGGGACTGTAATATAATATAATAACAATAATATAATGTTATATAATAATACATGTTTTGGTAACTGCCCGGATCACCAAGGTTGCTTCTGTTTGGGGACGAAACTGTAGTGCCACAGTTGAGTAAATGTATTAGTACTAATTCCTACCTTGAAAATGTGCAAGGTGAGCAAAAAAGCAAATGATGAAATTAGTTGCATGTGAAAAGATCATGGGAAGACTGAACTGGAAAAATTATATAGGTATGGAACAATGGGACAGCTTTATATGTCCAGAGAAAGCAACCTAACTTGACAAGAAGCTGATGGTTTGGTACAGTATGTAATTGTTACTGTGTACTAATATCCACCAAATTATTGAAACCAAGCAACTGCCTTTCTTATATCAATATATGTTTGGTAACCTGCCTGTTCTTTGTTTTTAGTCTTGCCTTTTCTTTTTGTTGCTGGATATTCTTGTTATAAAATGTACTTGTTTTCCAAGTTAAATTTATGTAAAATAACTTTGGTATTGGTAAGTGAATAAAATTGTACAGTAATTTTTCACTTGTGACTTTAAATAATGCAACTTGATAAAGAAATCGAATGTTAAATCATTAAAAATGTCAAACTAAAAATTGGGTTCTGAGTCATTTTGTATTTGCAGTCATCACAACACACCGATTTCCGGCACCAGCTCTGAAGAAAAGCTTCTCTGTTGCCAGTAAACTCCTATAAAACAGTCTTGATTGTTCCTATCCTTGATGTTTCAGTCTGTGCAAAATGTCACCAAACTGCAGTGAATCACAGATTCTAAACTGGAGGATTATTTTCTCGGCAGTACAGAATTGATGCATAATTCATGTCTCTCTTTGCAGCAGCTTGAACGACAGGAAGGTCATCAGCGCTTTTAGTAGTGCAGACAGCCTCGTTTACTGGAAACATTGTGTTTTTTTGAGTGTTTTTTCTGTATGCATTTGTCTGGCTGTGTGTAGTACATGTGCACCCACATGAAAATCCCAACATTCAGCCCTACTTTTGATCTCAGCTGAGGCGGGCGGACAAGGTCCTCAGAGGTTCACCTGCTGGCTGATTAAATAAATGTGTTGTGGATACAAAAGGCAAGGCAACCTCATACTGGCTGAGAAAGCTAAAACTCACCCTCTCTGTTCATCTGAAGCCTCGTATCAACACATAAGCTGACCTGTGCAGCTTGAAAAGAAAGCTAGAACAGATATTATCTCAACAAGTCTGGGCACAGTATCTATATCTAGAGCAGTGATAATGACAGTCACAGCAGTATGATTCAGGAGAAGGGCAGCTGCATCCTCATTGCCCTTCAATCCTATTATTACAGACTGGCCTGAAATAGAAAGTAAGTCTGGGAACGGTTTGCAGTAAGAGCCCACAAGCTACCACCACATGTAATTGTTTCCTTGTCAATCAAAAGTATTCACAAATAAACCCATGAGAACACGTCAATCAACAAATGTCTCAATAAACTCATGGTGCATACCAAACGTCTGATCAACAATGAAACTCTCCCATCCCCTACGGCTCCAACTGGCAGCGCTGTTATTCTGTTATTTGTTTTTCTGTGAATACTTTTATTCCTCTCTCCTTTCCCATTCCTTTTGAAGTGAAGAATCATAATTATTTGTTGTTTTCCTTTCTTTTTGTTCACATGTAAATGCTAAGGAGATAATTGCCGGGGGACTGTTCTGAAAGCACAAACAAAGCCAGTAGTGAATGAGAGTGTCCTGAGGGCCCGGGACTCCTGCGGAGCTCCACAGAGAGGACACTTACCTTTTAATGCCGTCCCTCTCTTCGTTATGGTCAGCTAATTGGTAGTTGGAGTGTAGAATAACTGCAAATTAACTGATTAGTTCTTTAGTCCTCAAAATGTCAAGAATGACAAGTCCCTGTGCAACACCATGTGGAGTGTTAAGGCTTGTCTGTAAGGATTAAAGGGCCACTCCTATTTAATGTGCTGACTTTATATAAGACTTTATATACAGGGTGGTGGTGGAGTAGCAACATGGAGTATCCAGCAAGATACTTTCTAATGAAACACACAAAGTTGCACTGTGGGAATCCAAAGTTTCATGAATCTTGGCTCAATAGCTTTACCAATTTTAATCTTTAAACTGTCTTGTAAGTTTTCTATCTTTATGCAGATCGAACACTAAATTGCTGAAGTATCCCTTTAATTTAATCAATCCATTGTTTTCTTATGTTCTTATGGACGAATCGGTTAATAAACTATTTGTTGTCTTGCAGTGCATTACTACGGTGGCCGTCAAGGGCAAACGCGCCGCAAATGGCAAAACGCTGCAAACACGGGAATGATGCAAAACCAAAAACACACAAGCACATAAAAACAAATGCAACAGAAAAATGCTGCAATCACAGAAACAAAGCAGAAGTAAAAACGTACAAACCCAAAACAAATGCAAAAGAAAAAATGCTGCAAATTTGCTCGACAAAACGGAAGTGCGCCAGGCCACTAGAGGGACCCGACCTGAGGGATGGACCAGTCCTGTGGGACCAGACCCGAAAGACATGAAGAAGAAGAAGAAGAAGAAGAAGAAGATAAAAAAGATTACGGCCAAGTGTTTAAAAAAAACATAAAGGAAAACGTACCTTTTTACTCTCCTCTCCAAAACTACTGTCATCTTCTTTTTCTTCTTCTTCTTCTTCTTCTTCTTCTTCATGTCTTTAGGGTCTGGTCCCACAGGACTGGTCCATCCCTCAGGTCGGGTCCCCCTAGTGGCCTGGCGCACTCCCATTTTGTCGAGCAAATTTGCAGCATTTTTTCTTTTGCATTTGTTTTGGGTTTGTACGTTTTTGCTTCTGCTTCGTGTCTGTGATTGCAGCATTTTTCTGTTGCATTTGTTTTTATGTGTTTATGTGTTTTTGGATTTGCATCATTCCCGTGTTTGCAGCGCTTTGCCGTTTGCAGCGCTTTGCCGTTTGCGGCGCGTTTGCCCTTGTCGGCCATCGTACATTACTGCTGGCAATTGACAGATAAATAATTGCTTACAAATGATTAATCATTTAAGCTTTTATCAAGCAAAAAGGCTGCTGTAACATCTGGGTAGGATCTGCTGTTTCCTGTGTTTTGCGTCATTGTGAATTTAATATACTTTAATTTTGTTGGCAATTTGTACACCACAATTTTCAATTTTTTTTTCAAACCACACCTGAGTGGTATTTCCTAACATTTTATAGGCTAGTTTATTTATACACTGATGAACTGCATAGACTAAATTTATTCAATTAATAAAAAAAGATGGTGAATCTTACATCACAACATAGTTTCATGTAAAGCCTACAAAATCTCTTTAAACGCCATCCCTACTGTGAACTACAACTCCCTCACACCACTGTGACACACACTCGCTGCTGATTAGTTGCAGCTCAGCTCAGCTTTCTCATTAAGGTCTGTACGTGGCTTTGCAGCCCTGTCAATCAAACAGGAGTAAATCTGAACCAATCAGGTCCGGAGTTAACCTCATGTGGGCGGGGCTACAACGCTTCCTCACACATCACGCTTGTTTCCTGGTCGTTGCTAACAACCTGCTGCCTGCAACTTGGTCCGTCCGCTACCCACTCATGCATACACGGTTTCCAGCGGTTGTGTTTTCGGGATGTATGCGAGGATGAAGCCGTGTCGACGCTGAGTGCAGTCGGACCCTCCGCTCCGTGCCGGCGGGCCGCATGGTGCTCCGTGTCTCTCTGCCTGCTTTCTGACGCTTGGGGTTGCAGTCTGGCCTCCAGCCGCGGCTGCGAATTACCTTCATTTCTCAGCGTCGCCTTGCTCTGAAATCATGTTTATTTTATAAAGATGGCGGTGAGGGGGACACTGTGAACTAAATGACTGTCAGAAACATCGCCTCCATTTGTAATATGGTGAGTATCTTGCTGCTTGTGTGTGTGTGTGTGTGTGTGTGTGTGTGTGTGTGTGTGTGTGTGTGTGTTGCTATCGATTTGCCTGCAGCCACTGTGTTTGGACCTGGTGTGTAATGATGTACATGGGTGAGTTGCCTCCTCCCCCTCTGCACGCAGACACACTGTGCGGGGGGGGTGGTCACTACTCAGAGAGAGAATATGCACTTCATCCGGTCTCGGTGCTCACACAGGCCTGCATCTCCAAACCTTCATATTATTAGTAGCGTTGACATTGTGTGTTGCAGCCTGGAGAGATGACACAATGTGCAATTTGTATAGCTGTCACGGGTGATTGACAGGTGAATGGAGCCGCGCGCTGCCTTTGACAGCTTGTTGTGATTGCATAATGTGGTGCTGCTGCTGCAGACAGCTGTTTGCATCCTGGCAGCAGGGAGACACTGGCCTTCCCTAGACTGGATACCAATGTCTGAAGCCTGCAGTGTCTGTCTCCTCCGACTGCTGCTGGCCTGCATTAATGACACCCAGTGCACCGCAACTTACTGATGAAGATAGATATCCTAAGCAAGAGTTACAGCACTGCTTAAGTCAAATAAAGCCTGAATGGACAGTAGTTGTGTATATATGTATGTATTAGGTGGTAGGGTTTCTTAATACAACTGTAACTGAAAGACTGCAGCTTGTATCCCCTGTTACAGCCAGTGTCTTGTTATACAGTTGGTGAGCTTCTTGCTGTAGTGATACGGTTGAAATATAATATTAATATTCATATTTTTCCAATTAGGGCTGCAACATACAATTATTTTCAGTTATTCTGTTGATTATTTCTTAATTAATCAACTCATTTGTATTGTTTATAAAAAAAAGTCTGCCCAAACATATTCCATTTACTATCATATTTAACATCGGAAACCATCAGATGTTGAGGTTTGAGAAGCTCGAACCAGCACAGATTTGGTATTTTTGCTTTGAAATTGTTCATTACAGTTTCACAGATCTTGAACTGATATCTTTTGATAGATATGAGTTTTGCCCGATGTAATTAGTTCACTATTATAGAAGACTGGAAATATAAACATAAATATAAATATTCATATTTAAGCTGGAACCTGTTAGTTTTGGGTGTGTCTTGCATAAAAAAAGATATAGATTATCAGAATAGATACAGATTAACTTCCTGCTGATTGGCTAATTGATTATTCATTACAACTCTAGCTCTGTTTTCATCACACTATAGCAGAAATAGGCAAAATTACATTAGAAAAATAATCAAACTGATGTTTATGGCAATCCAATGTTTTGCATTGCTTGAGACAAAACTCTTCCTGTGTCAAACAAATATTTAGTCAGTCCATTTTGTTAGCCTTCAGTTGAACATGAACTTGTTGCCAGAAGCAAGTAAAGAGATATTTTACACTTTAATACACTGCTAGAGCTAAAAGGCAATTCAACATAAAGTTTGTGCTTGCAGACAAATTAAGAGTTTAAACTGAGTTTAAATGTTACTTTGATCCAATTGTACTAGATAAATACACTAATTTAATCAGTAAGAGTAAAAGCACATAGATAACAAATAAACGTCGTAAAAAAGGCTGAAAAGGTTTCCAACTCCAGACTATAGTATTAATAATAATAATAATAATAATAATAATAATAAATAGTACTAAATTAGGATTTTTTTTCAGCCAGTGATAACCAATATTTACCTGCTTCTCATGGCCGTTACCAATAAGATAACAGATATATTCACATTTTTATATTTTGAAAATAAGCTGCAGTTTATCCACAGCTGATGGTAAGAAAGGCTGAGATGTGAGAAAAGATTATTTAATTTTCAATAGCTGTTCTAACCAAATCTAACTGACATGACTATTGTAAACACAACAACAACAAACAGGTCTGACTCTTCTAATGTTCATTTATTTTTCCTAGTAAAGATCATCAAAAACTTCACAAACATACTTTGGCTTTCATAGAACATAAAGCCAATCAATCGTTTTGCATAAGAATTCAAAATAAATTATTATTCATATCAATTGATAATAATAATAATAATAATAATGATAATAACAATAACACAAAGCAAGTGATGACAGTGTGCGGTTGTCATGACTCCTCATCATCTTCTGCCATGCGGACACACCTGTCACAGTTCAGGTTCTCCTAACATGAATAGTTTTCTTAGAGACAATCAAGGACTCACTGGAGTCATATGGGACTTCCTTTTAAATAAATGATGCCACTGTCTGCTGTTTATAAGGCACTCAAATGTCAAAATGTGGCATCAGGTGTCAGTAGGGGTTGCATGGATAGTCCATCTTTCTCACACATATGTTTTTTGAGAAGATTTTAATGGACTTTCAGGTCCACTGGTGGTACATTTCTGCTGAGTTATCCCAATAGTTTTGTGGGATATAGTCCAGTGTTTGCATAAGGAAACAATCAGTTTGTGTGTACAGTACATGGAGTTGTGCTTGCATACTTGTCGCTGCATCTCAGACTGGAAGCGGTAAATTGGACAAAGAGGTATTCACTGCCTGCTTTGACAGAGAGAAATGACAGTCATTGAAAGTCAAAGCCTTCTCCAAACTAAACCGTCTTCTGTGTTCGCTCAACAAAGCTGCGGTTCATTTGGAAAAGCTTTGAGCTCTGACAAGTGAAAAGGCTCTGACAAGAGATAAGTGGTCCGTCTCAGCAATCAGACGCAAAATACTCCTGACTTTTGACATGGGTCTGCCTCTTTAGACCATTTTTCGACTTTGACAGGATGTTTTTTGGGGGGGGTTTCTAGCAAGAAAAGCCATCAAGACGAGCTACAATATCTGAAACTGATATATTAAAGTTCCGCAGAAAGGATAATTTGATCAATTATGCTGTATGAAAGAGGGGCCTCTAATTTTGGTTTATCTCTTAGCTATGACTTTAAACCCTCAGCAGCCTGTTGCTGCCCCTTGACGTTACAAAATTTCCATAATAATTTGGCTATTTACTAGACTAAACAAATTAGGCTGTTATTTTAACCTTGTAGCTATCCAATATACCTGTGAGTAAACTGTGTTATAGGAGGTTATGGTGATGATGACAACAAGTATTGTGTTTTGTCTCTGTGCTTTCAGGGCACCAATGCCTCTGCTCTGGAGAAAGACATTGGCCCGGAGCAATTCCCAATCAATGAACACTACTTTGGATTGGTCAATGTGAGTATCACTAAATCCTCTCATACATTAACAAAGGTCATTGCCAAAAAACACTGGTGTCATTTTTCAAAATAAACCACCATGGGACTACGGTGAGTCACGGACAATGTGACCGTGTTGTTTGTGTGAGTCTGTTGGCCAATATAGGGATGTTCTGTTTCCTTGATATGGCATTCACATAAACCTGCAGTGTCTGCCAAATTGATATAGACATCTGAGCACAACTGTATGTTTCCACCAGCTGATTTAACAGAAAATCTGGACTGAAACCCCTTTTTGTCCTCATATTTGTTTGTGTGTCCTTGTCCATTCCTTCCTCAGTTTGGAAACACATGTTACTGTAACTCAGTGCTCCAGGCTCTCTACTTCTGCCGGCCTTTCCGGGAGAACGTGCTGGCTTACAAAGCCCAGCAGAAGAAGAAGGAGAACCTGCTCACATGCCTGGCTGACCTCTTCCACTCCATTGCCACACAGAAGAAGAAAGTGGGCGTCATCCCGCCCAAGAAGTTCATCTCCCGCCTACGGAAGGAGAACGGTGAGAGTCCGTACCTGAGACAGGAAAGGCCTCAGTTTAGTATAACAGGAACCTACCAGAGCTCAGGACTGGCTTTTAATTGTATGAGTTTGTGCCAAATGAAGGGTAAAACATATAGATCAAATATTTTATATTTCAGAACAACTGAAAAGTTTGCAAACCATGTATGGAAGCCTGCCATAAATGGCCTTTAGATGAATTCATGTAAAAGATAGACCTGGTGCAGCACAGACATTATGAAAATGTTAACAGTAGCTTGTTAATATGATGTATAACATAATAATAAAAACAATGTACAAGTTACAAAGGGCTGTACAGTAAAACCAGAGTTTTCGCAGCCACTGTATTTTCTCCTACATGCTTGGAAGGTGAGCGGTATTCAAGGTTGCAATTTGCATCTTCACAGCTAGATGCCACTAAATCCTTTAATGTAAATGGAACAGAGCCATCGTTAATTGTTAGTTACACTGTGCTTTTCTTGCTATTAACTTAAATTAAGTCCTATGATAAGGGTCTTTGCCGAACCCTTGTGTGCACCTCTCCACGTACATGTTCACAGACAGTCAGAGATTAGAGACTTGCGGTTTTGCGTTGTGTGTCTGTAGCAGTGTTGGCTTTAATGTAGTCTGAATATTTGAGGTGAAGGGCAGGTGCATGTTGGTGGTAAGGTCATTCAGAGAAGTTGAGCTGACAGAGAGGCTGACTGTTCTCTGCTGTCCATATTGAGGAAGCTCTTTATGTGAATGAACAATGCAATCTCTGTTGGGACCCAGCTTTGGTCAGCTGCCTCCTCTCTAGGCTGTTTTTTCCCCCTTCTGGTCTCTCTCTTTCTGTCCCCCCCCGATTCCCCCACGTCTCAGCTTTCACTTTCCACATACAGATCTGTCACAACAGTAGTGTGTATGGATTTTTAATATTATCTGTGTAGGCTGTTGATTTTATTCACGTGATCCACAGTCAACCTTGTCAAGACTGAAATTCACAGTAGAAGTTTCTCCTAGCGGGAAAAGCGCAGGTGTAATAATCACAGTAATGACGGCTGTTCAGTGGCAGTGAGTCATTACTGTGATTGATGACACCTGTGCTTTACATGTCCAAGTGTCCACAGTAACAGAGGTCGATCCACACTGACACCTATTGGGCGCTAAAATAATATAGCAAAACCATTAATGATTATATACTGTATAGATAGCAGCCAGTTAGCTTAGCTTAGCACAAAGACTGGAAACAGGGGGGAAAGCTAGCCTAGCTCTGTCTGAAGGTAACAAAATCCCTAGCTGGGAGTAGTTGCTAGGCAACCAGCGGAGACTCCAGGAAGTTACCGGGCAAAGGTATAATACGCTAGTGTCAGTGAGCTTTAGAGGTGCTGGTACGTTGATTTTGTTACCTTCAGACAGAGCCAGACTTGCTGTTTTCTTGTTTCTAGTTTTGTGCTAAGCTATGTTTAAGGCCTGCTGGCTTGTAGCCTTATATATAATGGACAAACATGAGAGCGGTGTCAATCTTTTCATCTAACTCTCCGCCAGAAAGCAAAATTTCCCAAAATGACGAACTTTGTCTTTAAAAGACGGCTGTGATCTATTTATTTATTTTTTTTTTATCACAAAGCTATTCAGCTAATTACCTTACTAGTTTTAATGTTGGCCTGGTTTAGACTTATCATGTACAAAAGTATAAATATTGGATTCAGTACGGGCAGATACTCATTATTAAATGGCTCTAATTAATTAAGACCAAAATCTTGACTGGGACATCCCCATCGATTCCCCTTTACGAGTTATCTCCTTTTTACTTTATGTCTGCATTTCCTTTCAGACCTGTTCGACAACTACATGCAACAGGACGCCCACGAATTTCTCAACTACCTGCTAAACACAGTGGCCGACATCCTACAAGAGGAGAAGAAGCAAGAAAAGCAGAACGGACGCCTCAAGAACAATGGCACCGCCGTCACAACGGAGACCGAGACGGAGAACAAGACAGAGCCCACATGGGTTCACGATATCTTCCAAGGCACACTGACCAATGAGACACGCTGCCTCAACTGTGAAACGGTGTGTGGCTCTGCTCCCATTAGAGGGATAGTACATTTTATGTCCCTGTGTCACCCTGAATTAGAGATCCCTCCTGAATACGTCTGAAAAAGGGATTAGCCTTTTGCAGAGATGCTGAGAGATGCAAAAAAATTTAAAAAAAAGAATCAGTGAGCGCACCCGGTGGGCTCCGGCCACCCACTTTACGTCAGGGCTGCCGGAGGCTTTGTCCGCAACACATTTTGAGGGCGAGGAGTGGGACGGGTTGCCCTGAACAACCCCTGCAAAACACCAAGGCGCTGCACTATGCGGACACAAAAGCTACTCAGTATAATAAGCATTTCAAAGACTGACTGTGTGTGTGTGTGTGTGTGTGTGTGTGTGTGTGTGTGTGTGTGTGTGTGTGTGTGTGTGTGTGTGTGTGTGTGTGTGTGTGTGTGTGTGTGTGTGTGTGTGTGTGTGAGGTGTGTGTGTGTAGGTGTGTAGGTGTGTAGGTGTGTAGGTGTGTAGGTGTGTAGGTGTGGGCGGATGGGTGGGTATTTTGTCACAGCTAGCGGGCTTCTCACTGACTCAGTCACAATAAATGACACTTTAGTTACCTCAGTGTCTCTCTTTGTCTTTCACAGGTGAGCAGCAAAGATGAAGATTTTCTTGATCTTTCTGTGGATGTGGAGCAGAACACATCAATAACACACTGTCTCAGGTAATATCGATTTATTGTACATTCACACAGCCACAGCTAAAAGGCTCACAGTAGGCCATATTTGGTGTGAGAGAGATTGAATAACCAAGCCTCCTGTGGCATGCTCTCCCCTCCAGGGACTTCAGCAACACAGAGACTTTGTGCAGTGAATACAAATACTACTGTGAGACATGCTGCAGCAAGCAGGAAGCACAGAAGCGGTCAGTAGGGCTCTGAGCTTAATACCACTGTGATGTGTCACTGCACACACACACACACACACACACACACACACTTCTCTGAGCATGTATGCTTTCTCTGCAGGATGCGTGTGAAGAAGCTTCCCATGATCTTGGCATTACACCTGAAGAGGTTTAAGTACATGGAGCAGCTGCACCGCTACACCAAGCTCTCATATCGAGTGGTTTTCCCCCTAGAGCTCCGTTTGTTCAACACGTCTGGGGATGCTGTTAACCTGGATCGCATGTACGATTTAGTGGCTGTGGTGGTTCACTGTGGCAGGTACAGTATACCAATTACCAGACCTCAATATGAGCTCCAGTGGGGTCAGAATGTCAGGTTTTGAGATACTAAAACACGACAACGCCTGTTCCCTCAAGCTTCAGCAGACTCACTGACAACATCTGTTGAACGTGCTAAGCAGATTTGGGCATAAAAAATGGTTGTTGGTTCTTTGTCTAAAAAACAGGTGATTCTAGCTTTATCCCATCAGTCGATTCTGTATGATGTGAAAAGAGTGGTTTGGCATTTGAGGAGAGTTAGATGAGAAGATTGATACCACTCTCATGTCTGTACAGGAAGCCCCCCCCAACTAAAAAACTGTGTCACCTATTGTTAGATGTTTGACCTTCACTGTGCAGAATGATGTCATCTCCTGAAAGGAGGAAAGTTTCTCTCTTCTCACCTTAAAGGTCCAGTGTGTAACAGTTAGGAGGGTCTATGGGCAGAAATAGAATATAAAATGGATAACTACGTGTACAATCAGCTGGAAATAAGAGTCATTATGTTTTTGTTGGCTTCCAATGAGCTTTTATATCTACAGAAGGTGATCTACAGGTCACTTTCCACATAGCTCAGAGCAGACAAACCAAACACACTCCTACACACGGGTCCTTTAAATCGAGTTAAAGACGCATGCATATGAGATGATTTTGTAAATATTTGCATATTCAAAGGTTCTGAATATTCTCACCGTGAAATAATGATAAATGAGATACAAACTTAACACATTTACTCCGTTTTAAAATCCTAATATAACGAATGAATATTTGTGCTTTGCATTTATGTTGTATCGATGACTTCAGCAGCTACTGCAGGAAGCTGAGACAGATGTAGTACAATGTTTTGAGTTTGGAACATCTGTATAATAAAGACACTGTTTGTCCCTGTTTCCTCAGTGGCCCAAACAGAGGTCATTACATCACCATAGTGAAGAGTCATGGCTTCTGGCTGCTGTTTGATGATGACATTGTGGAGGTGCGTCACTTTCAGTCTCACCATGTTACGCTGTGCTCAGTGTTCATTGACTCATCTGTTTGTACATTTACTACCGGTTGGTTGTCTCATCAGTATCGTACTTGTGTTGTGCAGAAAATCGACGCCCAGGCCATCGAGGAGTTTTACGGACTTACCTCAGACATCTCGAAGAACTCTGAGTCGGGATACATCCTCTTCTACCAGTCCAGGGAGTGACTGGAGCTGGATCAGTGACACAGGAGAAGACTGAACAGGATTTTCTCTTGTTTTGTTTTTTTACCTTCAGCCGAACAGACCCAGACTCCTGCCATCTCCATCCCATCCTGCTCCCATTCCCCAAGTCAGTCGTCTCTGACATGTGCCAATCCTCTGTCCCAACACCAACCTCTGGGTATACCTGTGCTTCATCTCTGTCTCTCTCTGTCTCTCTCTGTCTCTCTCTGTCTCTCTCTCTCTCTCTCTCTCTCTCTCTCTCTCTCTCTCTCTCTCTCTCTCTCTCTCTCTCTCTCTCTCTCTCTCTCTGTAATTTGCTTCTTGCCTTTTAGTCACCTGCATCTGGACTGCACTTTAAAACAAAAGCAAAAATGCTCAACTGCACGACGGAAACAAAAAGGAGTCTACGTTCACATCGAGCCCCATACACTCGGTGAAAGGGTGTAGACTGGTGGGAGAAGCTTGCAGAGGAGATTCTCTACCAGGAACGAAGGGTCTGGTGCACATACAGACAGAAATTGTACTATATCATTTCTATGTATATAAGGTCTACTTCCATGATGTGTCACCCCCTCATAACTCCTTTCATTAGGGCTATTTTCCCCCATCACTGTCCAGTCCTTTGATATGTCCATGTCCCTGGTGGATGCATGAGAAGTGAATGAAGTTGGAGACAAACACTGTATAATACGCTTAGAGAGATTTCATGCATTTGGAGTGGGGTTTGAAGCAATATCTGAGTAGAGAGTAGAGAGAACTCACAAGCTGGAAACTACCTAAACCTAAACTGTAGAGGTTTTGTCCCATGGAGAATCACTCTTTGAGCTGCTGTCTGTCTTTCTCTGCTGTGCAACTCCTGTTAGTCTGACCAGACATAATCAATACTTTAACACTCAATCTAAACTGAGCCAGATGCTCTAACACTACACATGAAAGGAAATCCTGCCGTTTTCTCCGTCAGATAGCTCACCATTGAAATCAGCCGAATCTTTATAATTTTTTTATTCTGATAGAGAACCCCTATTTATTGAATTTAATATATTTATTACTGTTACTTGTAATGCATACTGGTAGAAAATGGTGTGTGTGTGTGTGTGTGTGTGTGTGTGTGTGTGTGTGTGTGTGTGTGTGTGTGTGTGTGTGTGTGTGTGTGTGTGTGTGTGTGTGTGTGTGTGTGTGTGTGTGTGTGTGTGTGTGTGTGTGTGTGTGTGTGTGTGTGTGTGTGTGTGTGTGTGTGTGTGTGTGTAATATAGCATAGCTCTTTTGTGAGCCTTGTATGTTAAAAACCTGTATGTCTAAGCTCTCAGTGTGAAGGACAAAGGTGTATATAATACACAACTCGATAGGACAATTTTGTAGTTTGCATGTTAAATAAAAGGGGGAGACAGATTAACACGATGCAAGTAACAACCCAGAACTGCCTGATATTTTGATTGACATGAAACAGTAACAATAGTGCAATAAGAGGTGAAGTTATCCAATGTGGAATTTCCCAGTGAGACTAATATGAAGTACATTTAAATGTTAGTAGTAGATGTGTTTATTAGCAGCTGATCTTTTCCCAGTGCTGTTTTTGTGATATCAAAGTAAATGCCCCCCTTCACCACGTGCAGTGCGCACTACTGGGACTGTAGCTATAACCTTCTTTCATCCATCTTTTTTGTAACCTTACACAGCAGGGTTTTTCTTTTTTTTTTCCCCCACAGCTTAGTAGTGTTGTCTTGGTTTGTCTCTGACTTTGATGGTGTAAATTGTGTGTGTCATATGTAGCACATTGAAATCCTGAATCACATAGAGGTAAACTTCACTGTTAACTCATACAACTTCCCTTGTACTGTAGATGGTTTTTCTCTTCAGCCCATTCCCCAGGGTCTGTGGCCGTAACCCTGTAGAATAGCACGACGTCAAACAACTTGTTTTCATGTGAATGACATTCCTGCACATCAGAGGAATTACCAATTACCATTTCAAACGCATCTCATTATATATAATAGGAAGGAATAGGATTAATTTGCTAGTGTAGTGTCTGTCTATTCAGGAGAGGCAGAACTTGAAGTGAAAATAGTGAAACTCCGGGTGACGAATGCACTTGTTTCTGCCGTCTCTTCCATTTAGTCTGTTACTGGGTGACGTCACAAAGAATACGTGCCAAACTGGAGTCGATACTGACCTTGCAACAGTCTTTAACAGAACATTATTTTCTTTGTAAAGATACAACTTGTACATATATATTATGTAGAAAGACACTTCTGGAAATAGGAAAATATTTTTTTAAAGTGAAGATCTTAAAATGTAAAGACACCCATGGCAAAGATTTTAGCATTACACTAACCATTAATGAAACCCTGTTAAGAAATACTGTTATTTTACAATCACTCAGTTACATAATCAATCACATTTGTGCGGAAGTCACCACCTGTCATTACTTTTACTGGGTTGAACTGAATCTGGATAGAAAACAGTAGCAGGAATAGCCTGAGACATTTTAGACCGGGTGAAAGGAACACGACTCTTAATGCGCAGATCTTCCATTAACACTTATGCACTCGCCCTCACTGAGATGCTCAGTTGTTGCACTTGGTCTTCTATATCTTACTGTGATAGTATTCTACCCAGGAGAGCTCACAGGGGAACTGATCGAGCTTGTGGGAGGGAAAGAGGAGATGATACAAGTCTCCATTTGGCTGTAAACTGAAAGTGCACTTTACTAGTGATGAGCTTCAATGCTTTAACATGAAGAACCACAGTTTAACACACTCTTTTTTTTTCCTTCTGTTCAATAAAATGACTCAACTAACTTGCTGGATGGAGTGTTTGTTTCTCTTCCCCTGCTGCTTCCTGTTAGTACCTGCAAAACTACAGACATTCCCATCTGCCTCAGCTGTACTTCATGTTAAGCGCTAATTAGCAAATATTGGTACTCTGACACACTATACTAAGATGGTGATGAGCAAAGTGAACATTATACCTGCTTAGCATTAGCATGTTAGCATCGTCATTGTGAGCATGTTAGTACAACATCACAGAGCTGCTAGCATGGCGGTAGACTCCACATCCAGATACAGTGTGTCTGGATTCCATACTGCACATTGATTCTGGGCACGTTTTTACTGTGTCTACATAAAAGTGACAGAAAAATCCCCAAAATAAAAATTATTTATTTATGAAGTTTAATTGGCAGTGATATTTCAGAATTGCTCTTTGCATGATAACCTTAAGTAGGCTACTGTACTTAAGTACACTTAACTCCTACACTTTTGAGGTACTTAAGTAGCCTATTTCCAATTGATGCTATTTTCCACTTCTACGCCACTACAGTTCAGAGACAAGTATTGTGCTGTAGCTTTAGTTACTAGTCACACACCATAACTTTACATACCAAACATAGGATCATCTTTTAAAATATGATATAATGTTATAGATTTAACTAACCAGATGCAATGATGAATAAAACAATACTAAAAATACTAAAAATTGTGTTGGCCACAGGTCAGAATGTAACTTACAGCATGAATCAGTTACATCTGGGGGATACCAGATCCACTTAAGAAGGTCAATATCAGGGCCAGTACCTCTCAGACGAATCGTGCATCCCCAGTATAAAGTAGTTAGAATGATCTTCACCCATTCAGCAATAAAAAGCTGCTTACATGATAATCACATTATATATTTATATATTTATATTTTACACTTTTACTGATAGTGGAGTATTTCCATAATGTGCTGTGTGCTACTTTTACTTAAGTAAAAGATCTCAATACTTCATGAGCCACTGCTGGCAGTTAAATTTCACAGACTTTTTTTTTTTTCTGTTTTTCATAATTTAATAGTATTTTTCCTTTGTTGTAACAACAGTTCAACCACCATGAACAATCTCTTTTTTTCCAGCTGCTCAGCTCCTCAGTATAATTGTACATTGTATTGTGGGAGAATATCGTATAGTGTTATATAATGTTTTCTCAGAAAGAAGAGAGAAAAAAAACACCAATCATCCAGACTACTCTGGTCCGTTCAAGTCATATCTTGGTCTGAAAGAAACTTCCTGTTTGTTTTGGTTTTCACTGAAAATTAGACAATATGTCCATCTTTTGAGCTATCAGCTTTGTGTCCTCTCAGTCACCCTGAAACCTCAGCTAATCCCCCAGGAGGAAAAATACAGCAGCTGCCAGCAGTCTGGCACAGTCTTTGTTGATACTTCCACCTTTTCCCTTCTCTTTCCCCTTGTTTTCAACTTAGGTTGCATCCACAGGAAACACAGAGGACAACATGAACATTCATGTGTGGAGTCATAAAGCTCACACCTCATGCAATTTGCAATTAAGTGACATATATTGAATTGAGTCTGTGTGCCTTGTTATTGGTATTTCGCGATACCCATTTTCTTCTTGTACATATTTCCTTGGGTGCAGTTCCCTGTGTTCCATAGTTGTTCATTCATGTTCCCGTCAGTCTCACATAATATCTATCTCACATTTTGTTGTTATTGTTGATAAGTTTCATTCCACATTATGATTAAACCACAAGTGTTTATTTTCTCAGTTTAGAACAACCTACAGTAATTTGTTTCCTCCAGTCGAGGCCAGATTAACCTACCGAGGTGGCCCTGATCTGTGGGCTCTTGCTGATTAGTCTGAAAGAAACAGGAGAATCAGAAGATGTTATATAACCATAACCAAGCTTGTCTCTACACATCAACACAGTCCTGAGAAGTAGACGCCTGTGTGTGTGGGTGAGCCATGAGCTCCTTTTCATAAACCAGACGGTCATAAATAATCAACTTATTGTCAGTCGCAGAATTTTTTGAGTCCAGAACATGTTGACAAGCGTTTAAAACCTCACCATCACACCTAAATTTAAGTGGGCTTGTTGCACCTTTTCAACAGAAATGTGAAGAGTAGAATGTATATTTCTAAATACATATCAAAACCTACAGAAACATTCAGTGTAGTTTTACATTAAGAACCCACCGGAACTCATTAGTCCTGCTTCAGATATCTTGCTGGAGGAAACACCATGCAAAGGAAACAGTTCGTCAGCTATTGTTTTTTTTTTAATGACGTATGTACGTCATCATCTCTACTTTGCAGAGCTTCAAAGGACACCCCGGAATTACAAATTATTTTAATTACGCATAATTATAATAATTATCTGCATCATTAGCTCACCCACATCAAGCTAAACACTACCGGTATGTTGATTGGGGAAAATAATACTGTATGTTAGATTAACTGATAAATTACACAAACTACTCATCTAGAATAAATAATGTAGACTGATAAGATTTTGTTTGTGGGTCAGTAATATGCACAGCCATGTCTCCAACATCCTCATTATACAACACAAGCACAGGATGTGCACAATGGTGGCTATAGTGGCTCGATGTGTGCAAATTGTGGAAGCAAAAGCACCCTTGATGTTGTCAATAGATGATGGCCACTTGCGCTTTAATTCTTTGCTATTGAGGGTATATTTTTGCCTCCCAGTTCTCAACTATGGGCTAGAGCCTGCACAGTTTATCATCAGTGGCAATCATGATTTAATATTAATAATGAAGACACCTATGGCCAGAGAGAGGTTGTGTTAATCATAGGGTGATTTCCCGTTGTTTAGTTCGATCTGAGGTCCAACAACGGCAGGGGTGACTAAGGATGTTTGTCTTTTCCTGTAATTTGTTTGAAGAATTAGAGATGAAGTCACTGTGAAAACACACAGGTGGTCCAGGACTTGATACCAACCTCTCATTCTGTTTCTATGGAAAGATCCCAGGCTCTTCTCAGAAACACTTCATCTCCAACAGAGAGCTGTACAGAAGGATAAATGCAAACCCAGGCACACACACACACACACACACACACACACACACACACACACACACACACACACACACACACACACACACACACACACACACACACTCATCCACACACAATTTGTAGCAAAACAATGACAAGGTCCTGGTTATCAGCAGCATTTCGAGAGACCTTCAGCTTCTTCCCAGAAACTACGGATATGATAGCGTATGTGTCAGTGATGTAAAGCAACAGGACTTTGTGAACAATAATGAGACAAAGTATAATTTTGTAAACGTGTCAGTTCTATTTTTGTACAAGGTCATTTCGGGAAGTAACTGGCAGACTTAGCATTGTGCTTTTCCAGAAGAAGAAGAAGAGTTCTGAAGAACTCCAACAGTTTTTTTAAAAATTGGCTTATTTAAATTGTAACGGACTAGGCGCCGCAGTGGTTTACTTAATTTTTAATGCACTTTTCTGTGATTTTACTTTTCTTTTAATACTGTGTCCAGCCTCTTTCTTAAGGAAGCCCTAAAGGGTCATACATTTTATTTCCTCCATTTTCCAGTGATAACGAGTTAATTTTTTAACATTTTTTAAAGTGGCATATTTTCATATATTTGAGGTCCTGTAAAAACATATTGCTCAATAATTCCTGGCTATGGATGGTATATTTGACTTCTACCCATATAAGACTACAAGTGTACTTAATATCAAGCATTTCTAAAGCACCAATGTGGAGAAATTCAACAATAAAAGTCCATATTTGTACCTACTTTTACTGTACCTTAAATATATGAAAATATGCCACTTGGAGATACAAATATGGAACTTTTGTTTTGGCAATTCTCCACATTGGTGCAGTAAAAATGCTTGATATTAAGTATGTTTTTATTCATCATGGGCGCATGAAAAATATTTATTTGTTTTGTACAACATATGTCTTTTTGATTTCCAGTTGTCTTTTTATGGTTATTTTTTCATTATTATCTTAATTCTTTGTCTTGTTCTTTGTTCTTTGTCTTAGTGGAGCTATATGGTTTTGAGGCTGTGTGGATGGACTGAAACTGGACTCTGCTGGTGAATCTCATAGCTTGTTCTAAAATAAAAAACTCCAGTTAAATAAACATTAAATACCCTCAGGTCAGAGAGTGCAGATTACAGTGTCCAGCCGCTGGACTTCAGTTCCAAGGAAATGAAGAGCGTATACAAGATACTCTATTTTCATCATGTTATACCAAATAAAACCATTTAACGCTATCTTGAGTCCTTAGTAAGGGCTATTTTGGTGACTGCCATATTGAAAGTAAAACCGCTGTTTCTCACTAATTATTGGACCAGTGCTCTAAAATTAGATGTTTGAATTCCTTTCCCCAGAAAGAGGAGGTCTCCGTAACTTCCAGTTAGTCCTTCTGGACAAGTAGACAATGACTAAAAAACCCTTTTATGTCCATAGTCTCTCAGAAATCTCATAAAAGGCAATATTTTAGTACTTACATTAAACACCTATTTGTGCCAATGCCAAGCAGAGTGACCAGCACTGCACCAGACTACGATCACCACAGAACTTCAAATATTTGATATTGAAATTAATGTCTTTATTAGTTTAAGTTGAGAACTGCATATATTTGACTTCACACAGTCCTAACAGAGACATTTAAACATGCTTAAGATGAGTGCCAGATGCCCTCCTTACCAATCTTATTTATCTTTCTTGTGCCATATTCTAGTTTCATAACTGACCTATCAATGACTATGTGTTGGTGTAAGGGTGTCAGCAGCAGTTTGAGACTGACTGGTAGGTAGATGGTAACGCTCACAGTAAGGACTGTTGGATAAGAAGGCATCAAAAAGTGTCAGGGACAAATACTTTTCTTTTTGTTGGACAGGTACTGGCCCTGATATTGACCTACTTAAGTGGATCTGGTATTCGACAGAAGTGACTGAACCTTCCAACTGAGATAGATAGATAGATAGATAGATAGATAGATAGATAGATAGATAGATA